CAAGCGTAGGGGAGCTGAGTGCAGAGGATATGTGATATATATAAGAGGTGATCCCCCACGAGACGCTCAGAACTCTATCGGGAGAAGCAGACAATGTTCAATGTCCACATGACAGGCACAGGTAATGAAGGCGGGCCCTGACTTGGACCGCCGCAATCCTAGGACACAGGAAGTCTGTGTATGACAGGAGAAATGAGTGGCACAGGATCCCTGAGAATAGCGTCGAAGGCTCTGTCAACGGGAATGACTATGCTTTTGATAGAGCTTGAGGGCAAAGTCCTCTGTCGGTCTACTTGGCAGGACCAGACACGCTGGGGCGGATTCGTTGCGGCCATACGATGCTGAGTTACTGCCGAGAGAAGTCAAGATTGTACAAAGACTCCAGAGCTGCAAGATATAGGGGAGGAGACAGCGAGAAGTAGCATCTTTTCTCGGTAGCTCATCCGCGATCCCGACCCGGATACATGGACTTAGAAAAGTAAAATTGAACAGCTTCGTCAGGAGGCTCAGGTGCGCACTTCTCCGGTCTGGCTAGAAAGTGTAGAGAGCGAAATTTGCAGCAGCAATCTAGGGACTGCATGTACCAGGAGGGGAGGAAAGATAGAGCTTGAAATTAGCAATTGATCTAAGCGCGCGTACCAGTATCTCACGCTTCCGTTGAAAGGACCTTCAGCCTCATTCTGAGCTGCTATCAAGCAGGATCGCGAGAATTTTGACGAGGAGCTTTTTGACGACAGTGTCTTGTGCAAGGTAGCATCACTTCAACGAAAAAACACATTCGTCCTGCGTCAGCCTGTTTCGGCTTGTATGACCATCGTATTACCTTGTAGGTGGTGCAGTGGTCATGAATATCCTGCTCCGTTGACTGCAGTGGGAAAAGGCTCAGAGTCGAGATTCAGCAATGTCAGAATCCCCAGCAAAGGTTAGAATGCAGGTGAACAATAGTGCAGTTACGTCGCAGTCGCGGAGGGTCGACTAATTACGCTTAGCTGTTGTGCAGACTAAATTCGCGGCGCAACACTCAATAACGTCAGGCACTTTATGTTTTGGGTATATCACCCAGCGTCAAGTTGGCGAGGGTGCTTCGTGAATCGCGGCGCGGATGCGGGCCGGCTGTTGTTGTATCAGAGCTGCGGATGCCATGGCGCTCTCCATCGATGTGACGAAACTTGACATCGCCTGGACGCTCTGGACAGTTCGGCACCGTATGGAGGTACGCAGCCGCAGCTGGCGCAGCCACTGCGCAGCCTCCGTTGTCTTGGCTTTATGATCACTGACGCGGAACTATAACTAGGCTGCATCTACTATATTCTCCTGAATCATACACGAAATGATAGAACCCGTTCCGCCCCAGGATGACAAGCGTCAGCCACTGCTATCTGCTTCTATGCCAGAGTCTTCCGCTGTGCTACCGCCATACAGTGACATCCCTCGCTATGTGGATGACCCCGAGCGCGGAGAACCTCTCTACGTCGACATTCAGGCCATGGTTCAACCCGTGACTCCGCAGAAGAAGAGAAGCTGCGCCCGCAGATGCCACCGCTTCTGCCTCGCGCTCTGTGGCACGCTTCTGTTGCTCATATGCTTGCCAGTCTTCTTGAGGCACCTCACCTGGTTCAGGGACTTCGTGAGTACCCACCGCCCTCTCAAGTCCTATACTGACGCATTCTCGCCTTGTGTCAAGACGGACTCGTACATGGAGACAGAGATAGACCCCGTAATGTTGCAGGACTGCGTCGAGTATGGGTCCTGGATGAAGGGACGCATGGAATGGGCCAACCCACACCACCCTCTTCGCGACCTGTCGTATATTGCTTCGACGAGTTTCGAGCTCCCTCTCGACTCTGACCTGCTGTACATGATCTCCCGCGGCGCACTCTCGCACGGCACTGTGAGCATCAGTGACGGGGGGGAACAGGGATCAGACAAGATGGAGGTGCATGTGCGGGTGCAGTATGCCCATGAAGACGCGCTGGAGAAGACTAAGGTTTGCTTGCTGAAGCCCGGGGAGAACCAGAATGGCGTCGGAATCTTCGTACGTAATTCACGCCGATTGTCTGGATCACCTGCTTATTTGGCCAAACCAGAGCCCGCCGTACATGGTCGGAAGGAAATGGCACACAAACGTCGAAATCGATGTGAAGTTGCCTCGGGCCTCTGGCATCCCCATTTTTGTCAAGAAGTTCGAGACCGACATGCCTCTATTCAAGCACAATGTCTTCAATATGCAGGAGACAGCCGTATTCAACAGCATCTCTCTGAGAACATCGAACATGCCCATCATGGTGACTGTAAGTTTTCTAATTACAAGCAGTCCCCACGTGCTTGTAGCTGATGAGTTTCAGTCGCTTGCTGCCGGCGAAGCGGCGCTTGAGACGACAAATGGGATTATCGAGGGCACGTTCAAAACTGAGACCAGCCTCAAACTGCAGACGTCGAATGCGCCCATCAAGGCTGAGGTGTACATGCTCAATGCTGACAATGGCAATCCCACGCAACTCTGGATGCACACGTCGAATGGGTACGTTCCAAGTCTCACATTACGATGCAACCAAACTGACAATCCCTTCGCAGCCGCGTGGATGCGATCTCCGAGCTCATCTCCACCTCCGAAAGCGGCACCAACGGTACATTCGAGATCGACGCGCGCACGTCCAACTCGCCGCTCTACATCTCCACGCGCAGCGCGCCCATCGACCACGCTCTCGACCTCACTGCGCTCACGTCCAACTCGCCTGCCGCCGTCTCGCTGCACACGACCTGGGAGGGCTCGTTCGACCTCCGCTCCTCGAGCTTGTTCACGCCGAACGTGGACGCGCACACTGCGGTGCCAGACCCGGCAGGGCGCAACCGCAAGCGTGGGGCATTGGTGTCGGGCGTCCAGCGGGGCGTGGTGGAAGGTTTCACGGAGTGGACGCGGGGGGAGGGAAGGAAGGTCGGGCAAGCTAAGGTCGCGACGTCAAACTCGCCGCTCACGTTCAGCTTCTGAGCGCTTCGAAAGAGGTTGGGCAGATGGATTCTTTTGTCGTCACAATGATACAATTGTATGCGTTTCGCTCACCGAGTCCGTCATGTAGTGCAAGAAAGGTGGTTGAATATTATAAGCGGCACGACGGCTATCACTTATATTGATTCGAATGTATCTGTGTAACCTTATTCCAGTGCGGCACTCCAGCTTATCCAGATCTGCAGAGCCCGACCAGGGATTCGACACGGTGTTGTACAGGACTTCTTTCGAGGTCGATCTACAAATTCTGCCCCGCGGATCCAAGGACTCTTGCACTTTCGTCAAGAAGCTGGACGTCTGAATGTCCTGGTTAGTTTAGAATTGAAAACCTGCTGCATGATTGTGATCTAATTGTGGCCTGTCAGATATGGTGCGAAATTTTGCTGCGGGACAATCATGTCTTGATAGCAGTTGCAAAGCTTGAGGGGAAAGCGTGTCAGAGCGTGTCAATCTCGGCCGAGGTCAGGGGCTGAACACGGATGACACTACCACAACTGAAGTCTGGGCGAGCTAATCGGTCTAGACGGGTCTAACAGATTACATACCTGCTACAGTCGCGGACAGTCAAAGCCAACCAAATTCTGAGACGAATTAATCCCGATTCCGGAACTAGCGGGATCTCTTCGTAGACACTTAAGTAGCATTTGAGCATGTTAATATAAAATTTTATCGAGCGGTTTTTGCTCTAGAGCGAAATTTCTTTTTAAGGTGTGAAATTTTGGCCAAGTGCTGAAAAAAATCGCAAAAATCCTGAATAAATGCGCAAAATGCTCTTCTTCATGAGTGGAATACGATAGTAGCACTTGCATGTCATATCCGACACGGGTACGGCGCTTTAAAAAAGTTCTACATCACAACATAGCCACCGAGGATGCCACATGGATGGCCTCCGAAGCGTCCGAGGAACATCTCCGGGCTGCGAAATCAAGCCGAAAGGGCTTCTACTGCTTCTGTTCAGTCTCCGTCCTTACGTTACAGCAATATCGAGGCTTCTGCTGACAGTGCAAGCTCGGAGGACGACCTTGATGCCGACCTATCCTGGACACCAGGACTGGTCCATGACAGCCTTAAAGTGGACTATCAATTGAAGGATGGAGATGTTGATGTTGAGGAAGAATCCGATTGGGAAGAGCTTGATAATGAGGACTTTTTTGAGATGATGATTGAGTTTGCGAGAGATGCCGGTGATGATCCTCGGGACAAGGACTGGGCTCCCGAGACGAGGCAATCGGCCTCCAAGCAGAGCTGACTTAATCAGAAAGGTAAGTAGCACCTTTTGCTGCCGAAGTTTCACTGTGAACTTAATCCCATTGAAATGGTACGTGTTTATGCTACGGTTTATAAGAATATGCTAATGCGGTGTTCCGCACAGTACTGGGGGTGGTGCAAATACTGCTATCGTGAAGTTGTCAAGAAGAACTTCGAAGACACCAAGCATGTCGCACTCAGCGTGCTGAATGCGTGTCCTCTTGACGTCATCCAAAGGTTCATCAACAGATTCTGGCGGTTTATGGACGCTTATCGACAGGGACTTACTGGGAAGGCAGCTGCTCAGGCTTGGGCTGTTCACAAACAGAAACAGCACCGACAGGTTTCTCGCAGTGCCATGATGGCACTCGAGGCTGTTCTGAATTAAATCTAGAATACTTGCTATGTTGTTCCCCCGTTTCGCCCCATTAGATAGCCTCTTAGTGTTCATACAAAGGGCCAAAAAATTTGGCCAACACAAAATGTCGTGGAAAAAATCTGGGAAGTGGTTTTTTGGGCGTTTTCGCACCCGCTGAACCCTTTGCTGGTGTCAGATTGGCTCAGAAAATTCGCGTTCGAGCGCTACCACCTTTGGTTGGCTTTGACTGTCCGCGACTGTAGCTCCATGGAATCGGCCGCGCAGTAAAAAGAGGAATGTTCTGATCTGTGTGCGCCGCCTCTGATCACTGCATGGCAACGAGGTGTGTAGGAGACCACCATGGGAGCAGTGAGACAGGTTGTCCGTGGCGAGATGGCCGAGCGGTCTAAGGCGCCAGACTAAGGTTTCTGAATCATGACAGATTCGTACTGTTATCTGGTCCGAAAGGGCGTGGGTTCGAATCCCACTCTCGTCAGAGTGTTTTCAACGTGTTGAACTTTTTAGACTTGTTTCAATGCCACACTTTTCAACCCTGCTCACAGATCAAGTTATTTGCACTCAGAACCAATGATATCACATGTCAAATGCGAAACACAGCACCTGTGGTCCGAGTATGCGTATTCGTGATGCTAATGACTATACATGAACAGCAAACAGTACACATCGTAACATACGTAAAACAACAACTAAGGCAATCCAATAACCCCTCCTCATATATAGCATGGAGCTGCGCTCCGGATATCCTCCACCCACTGCTGAGTAATGATCCGCATGCGCTGCCTACGCGGTGGCGTTGTTGAAGATGAGCAGGTTCGGCGTGTCCTTGGGGAGCTCGTCGAGTGCGCCAGGCGTCGCGAGCGCGAGGAGCGCCTGCTTGAGCTGCGCCGGCGTGAGCGTCGGGACCTTCGGCACGGGCGCGACTGCCTCAACGAGTGCAGGCGGAGGGAGGAACACGGCAGCCCAAGTGGGGAGCGCGGCATGCGCGAGGGCGTACGCGCGCGCAAGCGACGGCTGCGCGAGGTCGGGCGCGATATGGGGGTTGAAGGTCGAAGAAGGGTAGAGCGAGAGGAGGTACGCAAGTATGCCGGCGGTGTGCGGGGACGCCATGGACGTGCCGGACATGGTCGTCGTGGAGACGTTGCTGCCGATGTAGGTCGAGAGGATGTTGAGGCCGGGGGCGAAGATGTCGACACAGGGGCCATGGTTCGAGAAGTACGCTCGCTCGTCGCCGAGTGTGGACGCGCCGACGGTGACTGCCTTCTCGGCAGCCGCGGGCGAGTTGTTGCACGCGTCGCGGTTGTCATTGCCTGCAGCCAATGAGCACCATGAACGAGCTTAGTAAATGTTGTACCACATACCAGCAGCGACAGCGAAGTGCATGCCAGCGTCAACAGCCTTGTTGACCGTGTCATCAAGCGCCTTCGACTTGCCACCACCCAGACTCATGTTCGCGACAGAGCCCTTGTGCTTGGTCTTACCGGTGCGCGCGAGCTCCTCCTTGGCAGCGGCCATCCTCTCCGCAGCCGACTCAGCCGCCCAAACGACACCGGAGACGACGTCACTCATGGTACCACTGCCATTGCTGCCGAGCACCTTCACCGCGACCACGTTTGCGGACTTCGCGACACCGTACTTGCGCGACGCAATCGTGCCCGCACAGTGTGTGCCGTGGCCGTTGCCATCCTCGTCGACATCGTTCTGCGGGACTGTCTTGCCCCACGATGCACGGCCCTCGAACTCGACGTGGTTGACGTTGATGCCGGTGTCGATGACGTACACGTCGACGCCCGCTCCGCCGTTCTTGTTGTATTCGTACTTCGTGAACGTGCTGAACGTCAGTCGTGACCGGTGGCTCACGCGTGCCAGACCCTGTCAGCCAACGTTAGTGATGTGAAAAAGCGCCGGACACGGTGCGCGAATTGCAGCAACAGACTGCGATACGAGGCTTGCCGAGCGAGGCAAGCGCAGATCGTCCGCACAACGCGAAAAGGATGTAGAAATAAATGCTCAAAGGCACATCGAATTGGAGCAGTGCCGCCCGCAGCCGGCTCAGTCTGTTCGGAGTAGTAACGAACTATCGCAGCAAGGGTTACGAATACACACACGCACCAGCCAATAAAGGCAGGACCGTCGACGCGAAAGGTTCGCACAGTAATGACAGTCGCAATACGGGGAATTGCACCATCGAATGCACATGATCAGAATGAGCACTTACCCAGGGCGCTCCCTTTTGGGTCTCCTGCATAGTCATGATGGGCTCAATGTCCAGTGTCTTGACGATCTGGTCCATCTCAACGTATTCAACCTCGGGCATCTGTCGTATCCGCTCGACAGTGGCCCCACTGAACTTGCCGGCGTAGCCCTTGACATGTCCGTTATAGACATGGGTGAGGCCGTCGGAGCCGTCGCCGACGAGCGGGCTCTCCTCATGCGCGCTCGCGACAAAGTTCATGTGGTTCTGCATGAGCGCGGGGGGGATGTCGTCACGGAACATGACGATGTACGATCCGTTGACGGTGCCGTGCGGGTGCTCCGCGACCATCAAGGGCGCGAACGAGAACTGGCCGCGCGCGGGTGGGACATTGTGGGAGTAGGTCGAGAGAGGACTGGCGCACGCTAGCGACGCAGCGATGAGGGGGAGAATGAAGCGGGCAGCCATCGTCGTGGATGTCCTTGACGATGGAGGTGTAGCAGAGGCCGCGCACGCGCAGTCTGATAACGGAATGGGGTATGTTTGACCCTGTTTGCAATGTGGCTGACCCCGCTCCGCTCTCCCCGCTCCCTGAGGACCCCGGATTTGGAATGCACCGCCCGCGTTGTACGAATAGGCAAGCTACCGGAGTTTGGCCGGGAACACACGCGGCGCGCTGGCAGAGTGCTGGTCTCACTGCGGTGTATCCGAACTCCTTGCGCCAACTATGTGAATGTCTCACAAGAGCCGCAACTTTGCAAGCGGAAGCATTCCCGACATGCCCCACTTGGGCAGTCACTCGGGGTCCCGCACACAGCCAACGCAAGCACTTGCGCTGAGCGAGCTTCGAGTCAGAGATACCGTCAGCTCACCGACTCGCGTCCCATCTCAGCACCGGAATTGTTACTGGAAATGGCATAGACGACGTTCCTAGTTACACCAGTACCCGGCATTCATTTCGCGCGCCCGACAGTGCGCCGGAAGCGTGCCACCAGGCGGGCGAGTACTGCATCGGTCATCCCGATAAGGCCACGCGATTGCCTGTCTAGGCTACCCTCGTGCCGCAAGCCGACCCGAACCGACATGCATACCGGTGCACACCGAGTCTTCAGAGATGCACGCGACAAAACTGAAACACCAGAAATGGCACACGACCTCAAACGACGTAAGAAATCGAGTGTTCTTCCTATCTTGACGCGCGCAGTTGCACCATCACCCACTCTAACTGCCTCATACAGACGCCACTGCTGTCCTGACACGGCACGTTCCAGCCACGACGAGGCCTCATGCAGGGGGCACCAGAGCACAGGTCGAGAGATACCCCGCTTTACACACCGCGGGTCAGTCTTATCCAGGGTGTAACGGCAATTTGGAAGACGCCACCTTCGGACAGCACACGTACACGGTACAGATGGCTACAACCAGAGTTCAATACTCTGTCCTGCACAGTCTTCTGTAACCCTGCGCTCCTAGACGCTGAACTCTGCAGGTGCATTGGACGTCGTAACCCTCGCCTCGCCACCGCCACACCCCTCCCGGCAATCCACCCCGCATATCTATCCAATGCGCCCTGCTGTGCGAAACCCCACGCTACCGCTCGACTGCGGCCCCGTCCAGCAGGTCCAGGCATGTCTGTCGATGCATTCACTAGCTCGGAAAAAGGCGAAGTCTGCAGTCGGACCGAGCCGACGGAGACAAGCGGACTGGAGGTGTGCGCATCGAGATCCGGGTTGTGGTCGATGAGAGCGCTGCAGGTGGAGATGTTGATCGGCGCGACCGAAGCACGGGTATCCATTTGAAGGCGCCGCCCGTGCCGGCTCCGGAGCTCGAGATGTATTCGGTGACCAGGCGCATTCGACGTGCACAAGCTCAGATAGTTCTAGTTGAACCTCCCGTAGATCTCTCCATGCAGCATTCTCAAGGTAGCCTGTCTTGCAGCGAGACTCTGCCGCTATGCCATCAATATTGACATCCTCATCGCTCCGCACCGCGTTTGGATAGCCCACCTCTGCACAGATGATCAATGTAGAAGCTAAACTCCGGCATGTCGGCCTCGAATCTCCTGACCAGTATCGGAGTGTCCTTCGACAAATCCTCAAGGCCCGCGCAGGTCGCTGGAATGCTACACGAAACCATACATTTCGAACAATAGTGGCAACATCACTCGCGTTTCCAAGCAGGTACCTCAGCCATGCGCTCTTCGCCTATCCTTCCCGCAAAGCCTAAAGCCTGAGCTTCAGCGGCGCATTCGACGTCCTAATCTTGACCTCGCCAAGCCTGTGCTCCTCCTTCGGAGTCCACGCCGCACTCCCTTCCACGACGCCCTTGCGCACACTACGCACCACAACGTCACGACGGCGTTCTTTCCCTTTAGGATCCGGGACCTCCGTGTCGGGATCGACAGTCGGAGTGTGTTGCGATGTCTGGATGCGGAAAGCGCCCTCCCAGGTCGAGTGCAGCGAAGCGGATGCCGGCGCGTTGGACGTGCGCGCTGTGAAGTACAGGACATGGTCCACAGGTGCAGACTTGGTGGAAACATCCAGCGGGGAGTTTGACGTACGCGCGTCGATCTTGAAGATGCCATTCGTGCCGCTCGAGGTGGTGGAGATCAGCTCGGTGACTGCATCCACACGACTGCAAACAACGATGGATCTTGCTAATACAGAATCAGTAAATGATTTGAGCATACCTATTAGACGTCCGCATGTTCAGCTCGGTGGCCTTGCCGTTGTCAGCGTTCAGCATCCTGACGTCCACATCGATTGGAGCATTCGAAGTGCCCAGATGGAGACTGCTTGAGGTATTGAACACTCCCGAGATCCTGCCATTCGACGTCCGAAGGACGGCCTGTCTCGCGGCAAGGCTCTGGGTGATGAATGTGAGTCATAAACAAAGCCATTCCCATCGAGAATTAGGTGCTCACCCCCGAGACGATATGGCTGTTCGAGGTCTTCAGACTGATCGAATCGAAGAAGACAGTGTCTTGCAAATAGTAGATGCGATGGGAGAACAGAGACATATCTGTCTCAAGGCTCTTGACAAAGGCCGGAATCTCATTCTTCAAGCCGGTCGGAATCCGCAGCCACACTTCGAAATTCGTCCTATAGTGTGTGCAGTTCCAGTTCGGTGTGGCACAGTGCAAATTCTCGGGGCTCTGAACCCTCACATGAGCAACCCACCGCGCGCATACACCGGGAAAGCCACTCACAAAGATTCCTACGCCATTTCGTCCCTCCGCCGGCTGGAGTAAGCACACCTTCGTCTGCTCGAACACAGTCTCGTAG